GTGCTTAACACTTAATGCAAAAGAAATAACAATATTCCCAAATGTTATCAGAATCCATAAAGGAAAGTTCACATAAAAGATTCAGATAGATTTTTTCTCAAGGACATAACTATAACAAAAACTAGATGCCCATTTCTAAAATATAAACTCAATGTATGAAGTAAAGCACGCAAAAATTAAAAAGTAACTGACACAAAAGCATTTCACGTTGACCGTTAGCGCTTTCTTTGATAAAAGCACACACATTCCAAAGAAAAAGAAACGATCAATTTTCATACATTGAATTCTCCCATCAACAGAAGATGTTTATCAGGCGGTACAAAGCAACCAGTTACTCGATGTTATTTTACCACTCCAGTAAGGTTTTAAACACCATGAGAAAACACAACCCTGATACAGAAAATTAGACTATCTTCAAAATACATGAAAATCAGAGTAAAATATAATGACAACACCATCTCATTTGGCCATAGGATACTTTCAAAATATAAGGTGAATCTTGACCTCACAACACTCAAGTTCAAATGTATGGAAACATTGCCAGGGGTGATCCAGTAATTGACAACATAAACAGTACTAGAATTGCCAAAGTAGACTGCAAATGCAAAGTTTTACATGCCATTCCGCCCCTGCTTTAGCTCGGTTGATCCAAGAAGCATGAAGGGCAGAAAGCTTAATGAAACATGGTTGATACACTGCTGTAGACTGATTTGAAGTGTTGCATCAATCTGTCCATCAAGTACAGGTGAATTGTTTCTGCTCGCCATATTAAAGGTGGAACACAGTAATACATCACCAATCATTTAAAATTTTGCTATGAGGGATGCAGCCCAGGTTTGCTAATGCAATATATGTGTTTTCAACAATCTTGCAGACTTTTTTGAGCCTCTATGAGGGACCCACCAGAACCCATAATTTTTCTGTAAACCCATAAAGTAGCACTAAAATGTGTTCCAAATTTGTGAAAATATGTCTAATGCATTTCTGAACGACCTAGTTGCATCTATCAAACCCAAGCTGTATGCCCATCAGCAAAATTTGCAATGATGGGTACTGTCTTCCTTCCATTGTGGGGCCACCATTAGAACTATACAAAATAATTACCACACTTACAACCTACAATTGTACCCTTGACAAAATTAGGATAATACTAAGACTTTCAACAAAATGTTAACAAAATCAAAATATTGCAGTCATTATACTTTGAAAAATAACAAAAAGATTGCAGAAAGAGACAGAGCAGACTCTTGGCTCCTGTTTTAACAGTACTACACAACTCGCCACAGAATAATTTTGACACTTCCATACAACAAAAATTTAAGAGAGACCATTATAGAAACCATTTCAGGAATAACAAAACAAACCTTGAAGAAAAGATTTTACCAAACTAAAGAGAAGGAACTAGCTGCAGGTGGGAACAACCACAAATTCAGACCCCCCACTAAAGTAATACATGCACAGATTATTGAATGGTCAGCATGGCCATGATGTCCCAGCAAATACTGACTCACAAGCACAAAACACTTCAGGCAATTTCTATAATCCATTCGTCACATTGCATCCAAGTCTTGAAAGAGGAGGTCGCTTGCTCAAGATGCGGATTCCTTCGTCTTCAATACTGACGCCTGGAGGACAAAAAATGACACAGGTGGAATTTACATAACGTTGAATACAAACAATAATAAGCTCACCTAATTTTAAATGTACAGCAGAAGTGAGAGTGTATGTGATACATACCCAACCCAACCTCTCCTTTTTAGAGAAAACTGAGGCAACAAAAACCAAATGCGAAACTGGAGTGAGCTGTGCAGGGTGTCCAGGACACAGACACTTGATTATTGGGTAAGAGCCAATACGGTGGTGGATGGTTGAGTCAATCATACCTAGAACAGTAATAATTGAGAAGTTAGCAATGATTCACTAAACAATCAAGTGAGGCTTCTCATTTAACTAAACAAAGTAGTTCATTCATGAACTTGAACTGATATTACTTAAAACAAAATTCATACATCAAAAAGTGACAACAAATACATAAATGATGAGTTTTCCACCTCCCCGGCACCCATACAATTGAATTCTTAAAACTATAAGCTACAACAGGACGTAAACATTATTGCTTCCAGGATGGACCCAGAGGAACAACAAGACGTTCTATTAACAGACTACATTGCTTTAAAGTGGGCAGTAATAGAATAATTTTGAACTTTTTATGATGATGAACAAATTTACTTCCCAGTGGGGTAGTGCACCCAAATACTTTCTTTTTCTATATTCAATTTTTATTTCACACGACTGAAAACAATTGAAAGTGGAGTAAAAACTTTGTGACTGATTCCTTTTTGGTATTTTATACTTTCAAGAGATAAAAAAGTAAGCCTCCCTAAGCCTCCAAGCAACACTAAATTAAAGTATTGCAAAATTAACAGAAAGTTCTGTAAGAAAAAGATGCCTACACACTCAGTAGTTCTTAAGACCAATTACTTACCTTGATAATAGAAGTTATTTTTCAGCGGGAATAAACAAACAGCAGAAGACAAACACTTGCCGTTCAGTGTCCTTAAGATGCAACTTAATTATGAATCCAGGCCGGAAAGAAATGGTCAGTTGACACGCACCCATACCTGGAATACAAAAAGTTATGTACATACTCGGTAAAACAAGCACCACACAACAACTGGGTACATACAAATTTTTGATTTAGAAAAACATGCTTACATTGGTCTGCTGAAGGGGGCTCCAACTTTCAGTTTTGATGAGAAGGCAGGCACAGCAATGAATTGTGTGAAAAATTCCGTTGCTCAGCCAGGTACGATATAAAGCACATAACTTGACACGGAATACCAACTGAGGTCAGTTTCTTGAGAAAGCAGTCACGCAGTCCTCTTCTCAAACATACAGGATTTTAAAACACCTATCTGTATTGACAAATCAGAAATCACATCACAACAAAACCTATATTCTGAAATTAATAACCTTCCATTAAAACTAATACTTGTGTTAAAACTTGGTGGTCCGCTTTTGATTGATATGAGTTTGCACCTCTAAAACTTCATTACCAAAGTCTCTCTCAGCAAACACGAAGTTGCTCCCTACATGTTGGCGGCAGACAGATCAAACGATGCCCCAAGGTTGAAGTGGACTCGGAACTCTCCACAAAGGATTTTTCGGCCAGTGTAAAAGTAATCACACAGTCCTCTCCTGAAACATACGGGATTTTAAAGCACCAATCATTATTTACAAATCAGAAATCACATCACAACAAAATCTATATTCTGAGGTCAAAACCCTTCCATTTTGATTGACATGAGGTAACACCTCCAAACCTTCATTACCAAACTCTTGCTCAACACAGGAAGCTACTCCCTACAAAGTGACGGCAGGCAGATCCGACGATGCACAGAGGTTGAAGTGGACTTGGAACTCTCCACATAGGATTTGTCAGTCAGCGATAGGAGTAACAAAATACCTGAAACAGGAATGATAGAATGAGTCAATTTAAATAGCTCTGTTTGACAGTCAAACCACACCTAGACAAGCACCACACATATATTTTGATAGAAAATACAGCAAATGTGAAAGAAAGTCTAACCGGCAAAAACACACACATAACTCGGACAGAAGTCGAAATTTGAATCGGTACAGGCGTAGAAGAGAAACAGAGAAAGCGTGCAAAAGCACTCGCAAATCAAACAACCAGAATTTTGTAACCACACAAGCTCGCAGAGGTTATGTTCATCTCCTCACCTTTGGAGAAACGCAACAACTGATTGTACAAAAGGGCGTTGTCTCGATCCCCTTACTGAGAACAAACATCAGTGTTTGAAAAGTAGTTCGATGAAAATAATATGGCTTTAACGACCGCACTCAAAGTTCGCCAAAGTCAGCATGGTCAGCAGCTAAATGACCTCGGCAAGTCTCTCCACAAAACCATTGCCGGCGTCGTAAAGAATGTTGGTGCGATGAAACAACAGCAAAACACACTATATGATGTCCTAACTGTTATGACCGACCGATTATTGTTAAATAAATTACAAATTACAAACAAGGCCGACGCAAACGGCCGCGTCCAAAGCAGAAGCTGTTAGCTGACCGTCAACTATTCCATCATTCTTTCGTTCAGGCAGGCTGGCAAGGCCTGAAAACTAAAACACCCTGCAATAAATGCAAAATCTCAGAACGTGGCGCTGCATAGAAAGACTGTTCATTCACAATGAAATGAAGATTTATTACGATGGCACAATTTAGTGGAGTGAAAACGAGAAACGGCAGTGATGTAGGACGACGATGCGCAGACTTGCTGCGGGCGGTCCGTTGGTACCCGGGGAGGCGGCGGCGCGACGGGAGGGGTTCGAATGGTCCCGAGAGGCGTTCGGTATCCGTTTAACGTTTTAACACAAAACAAAACTGCGATGGGCGTCTAGTTTGTGATACTCATGTGCCCGTGTATTGTCCCTACAACGCCACGTTCTCGGATTCCTGTTTTTCTCTACCGTTCTTTAGAAAAAAAAAAGAAACTGTCGAGATGTCGCGTAGATCAGATAGGAACAATCACGATGTGAACAATGTCGCTTCTCTTCGATCCTGGGATAACATACCCTAGCGTAAAGAATCAATTTCGAGACTTAATTATGATGATGCTTGCCTGTCACGGCGCCTGCAACGAGTAACCATTGACCGACCCGCCTCGCTCGTGTGCCGAGTGGGTTGCCTACCCTTCAGAAGCATCCAACACTCTGAAAAAGCAATTTGAAGGTTGGAGCGCGGGTGCGGGACAGGGCCCCTCGGCTGCTCGGCCCTGTCGAGCCCACACAGTAGCACGAGCAGCAGCCGAGGGGAAGTCCAAACTGCTCGCGCTTGCCACGCCGCGCCTCCCGTGGAGGTCTACAGAGGACCCCACCCTTAAACGGGTTGCCGCTGCCGCGCATCACCAACGCAGCAGCACCGCACCGCACACCCACTCGGCCGGGGCGGCCGCTCCACGCCCCGGCTCCAGCTACACGCACTGCTCGTTGTCGACCAAGGCACGGGGCACGGCCGAGGGGCATAGGACGGAGTGTATGCTGGTCGGGGCCCTGGAGGCTGTCGCAAAGCGCGAAAAGCCAGCGACGACATAGGCATCGTCTGACGTTCGCCTGCCTCCCTCGCGTCACTCTCTTGGCCGTCCTCGCGGCCGCTGGCACGCCCCCGCCGACGCCGAGGCCTTGAGGGCGGCTCTGCTGTCCGCGACCATCGCGCCGTGTAACGCCACCCTGTTCCTGACCTGCCCCGGGAGACGCCCCGCGCCCTCCTGCCGACCAACTTCTCCTGGGAGGGGCGCCCTCCGCCTGCACGCCGACATCGTCCCCAGCGCACTCATGGTGGTCGCTGACAGCGCCGAGAGCCTCTTGAAGACCCTGGCGAGCATGAGCAACCACCTGCCTGAGGTGACGTCGGCGACCTCCCACCGGGTCGTCACCGACCACTTGTTCTCCTTCTGGCTCCCGCGCTGTGGGGCTTGACGCTGGCCGCCGTGCTGCTGGGC